AGGCTGGATCGATGGGCCGAGGCCAACTGTATGAGATTCAACAAGGCCAAGTGCCGGGTCCTGCACTTTGGCCACAACAACCCCATGCAGCGCTACAGGCTTGGGGAAGAGTGGCTGGAAAGCTGCCTGGCGGAAAAGGACCTGGGGGTGTTGGTCGCCAGCCGGCTGAACATGAGATGGCCGTGTGCCCAGGTGGCCAAGAAGGCCAATGGCATCGTGGCCTGTATCAGAAATAGTGTGGCCAGCAGGAGTAGGGGAGTGATCGTGCCCCTGTGCTCGGCACTGGTGAGGCCGCACCTCGAACACTGTGTTCAGTTTTGGGCCCCTCACTACAAGAAGGACGTTGAGATGTTGGAACGTGTCCAGAGAAGGGCAACGAAGCTGGTGAAGGGTCTGGAGAACAAGTCTTATGAGGAGCGGCTGAGGGAGCTGGGGTTGTTTAGCCTGGAGAAAAGGAGGCTGAGGGGAGACCTCATCGCTCTCTACAACTACCTGAAAGGAGGTTGTAGCAAGGGGGGGGTGTCGGTCTCTTCTCCCAAGTAACTAGCGATAGGACAAGAGGAAATGGCCTCAAGTTGCACCAGGGGAGGTTTAGATTGGACATGAGGAAAAATTTCTTTTTGAAAAGAAATTACTTTGAAAGAGTAGTTAAACATTGGAACAGGCTGCCCAGGGAAGTGGTTGAGTCCCCATCCCTGGAAGTATTTAAAAGATGGGTAGATGAGGCGCTTAGGGACATGGTTTAGTAGGCATGGTGGTGTTGGGTTGACAGTTGGACTCGATGATCTTGGAGGTCTCTTCCAACCTTAATGATTCTATGATTCTATGATTCTATGATTCTATGATTCTATGATTCTATAATTTTGCCTCCTGCCAAATAGTTTCATGTTGATTATTAGATGTTAACTAGCTGTGAAATTCTACAGTCTGGTCTTTTGATGGGAGACGTGCCAAAGTGTGGAGGCACCTAGAGTGGCTTCTTAGGGCTAGCGAAGCTTTTCTCATGAAGTGGAACTAGCACCTTTCTGCTTTGCCTCATATTGACTGCACTTATTTTTTGATTTGCCATTAAGAGTTTAGGGGAATGTAACCTTAACTTTACTAGTGAGACCCTGAGAATGTTTGTCTGGTACTGCAGTGAGGGCCTCCGCTATGTTTATGTAGCAGTGGTCCAACCAAGCTTCTATAGCCTTGACCCTTTGTTCTTTTGACTCAGTGGGACAATTTCTTTGGAAAAGCGGAATTGGGTCCATACATTGTGTTTATCATCACCCCCAAGGGAAATAGCTGAACAATATTGTGAAGGACTCCTAGTCTAGTTCCTCTTTGGAGAAGGGAAGGAATTAATCTTTATTCAGACAGCTGGAGTATGGGTCAAATAAACAATACAGTTAGCTGCATTGACATGTAAATGAGTATTACAGTAACTCAATAAAAACCTAAACCAGAATAGAGTAGCATTGTTACTCTCTAATACATGTACATTTGTGCTGCCAATGAAGTAGCTGCATAACTATAGTGGGGAAAACTTGATAGCAAGGACTTCAGCATGACCGTAAGAATTCACTTGGCAACCTGAATTATGATTAAGTCTGTAATGCCTGTGCCTTATTCCTATTAATACCTGTGCTACCAGGTTAAAGCTAGCCTGGATTTGCCCACATACACTACTGCAGTGTAGACGAACCATCGGAGCGTAACACTGCATTACGGTTGTTTAGGTGGTCATGACAATGTAAAAGCTTCCAATCTTCCTCCAGCTGTTGTTTCCAAGTCTTGTGCAAAAGTTATCACTACCTCAGTGGTGCAAATGTGAATGATGTAAAGTGATTTTTAAAAAACTTAAATCCAAATTGGTTTACTAATATATTTTAACACGTGTGCCCAAATCTGTTTTCAGCTCAGTGAGGAGGCAGAAAACTATGGGGGCAAAAAGGAATAAGTTGTTAGGAGAAGTCAGGAACCTATTCAGCTGGATAAATTGTTTTGTGAAGCTATCTTCTGAGGAGAAGCAAACATGAGAATAAAATAATTGCCAGCTTTGTATGACCATCTCCTGATAAATCAGAGGATGCTCTTGAATATATAGTATGCAGGAGATGACAAATTTAGGAAAACATAAGGGATGAGTGCACAGCTGGTGTAAACTGGTATGAATTTATTACGCATGTAAGGCCAAGCATATTCACACGGGTTGAAGTTCTGTCACCACTTCAGAGGGAGGGATTCTACGTAAAAGGGGGAGTCACACAGAAGGCGGCAAGCCATTCTGATAAATGGACTTTCCTTCATCCATAATAAGTGGTGAAGATGGTACAATTGTTAAGGATTTTTGTAGAAAATGTCATAAACAACACAGTCATTTTGAAGAGTGATTTGTGATCATTTATTTAAATACTGTGCTGTTATGCTCTCCATTGAGAGCAGAGTGAAAGCTGTGTGTCCATCCCTAATGCTGCCAGTGTTGATGCGAACATTGGAGCATTCTGTCATCTTGCCTGGACTGAATCTTTTCCCCACTAGAATTATCTGAATGCTACAACTGTTAGTCTAGGAGATACCCGAGGAGATGCATTGCCCACTGTACTTCATGAAAAAACCTATCCTAAATCTGTCTCTCACTTGCTTCTGAGTTTGTACTTTAAAAAAAAAAGTCATGGTAATTGGATTTTATTTGTTTGTTTGCTTGGATCTTCTGTGGCATCATTTATCTAATGCAGATGGTAATTTTCCTCTAGGTGGAAATAATGTGTGCACAATGGCACAGTGGCAGCAATGCTCCAGTGTTGTGCTAAGTGGAAAATGGAACTGGATTTTCTGAAATAAATGGGGAGATGGTTTATTTTATTTCCTTTTCCACCTCCTCCCTCACACACCTGAAGTGGCAAGTTAACAGCCATGGGAATTCGATTGAATGGAAATACTGCACATTATTACATGGCTGCTTTTCCTGCTAGTGCTTTTGGCATCACTGTTGGCAAAATGATGAATTCTTCTGTGACAATAACTCTGTGTGATGGGAGCTGCTGGTGAGTGTTGTGGTACAGATATGGCCCAGCCCGACTGTCTAGGGGCAAAACTTTTAACTTGAAAGGAATGACAACAAAGTGTGGCTTCTAGTAGGTTACTAGTTACTGCTGTAGTTACTCAAACCCAGCATTCACTAGAAGAAACAGTCCTGCCTTCTGCTTTCCCTATTGCTGCCCATCCTCCCAACACATGTTCTTTGTCTGAACGCACACAAGTGCTTCTGAATCAGGTCAGGGAACTGATCCCACTGAGAACTAGCTGAGCAATTCCTCAGTGAGTCTCGTAATACAGCTACAGAAGCATTTGTGTTAGTACAGGAGGAATGGGGAGGCACAAACTGCTCTGGGACAGTGAGACTGCTCTCTCTTGGTGTCAGGACCAGCCTGGTGTTACCAAACTACAACTTTGAGGTGCAGTTTCCCAAGAGGCTCAAGCCAACCTGATAGCCTGTTGCTATCAAAACAGGCAGCCTTTTGTGCCCTCAACTTTTGTCTGTGTTCTCACCTCTTCCAGCACTTGCAGCTTTGTGAGGATCCAAGTGAGCTTTCTTGTCTGACTGAAAACTAATCCACCAAAACCACAACAAAATTTGTTTTGGCTGGGATCAGCTCTCTCATCTGGCTAACCACAGAGTCGTACAATTGCTATTGGTGGCACAGAGGTAGCAGCAAGCTTGTGTGGCTACAGATGGGGAGAAGGCTGGACTGGCACTTTCTAGATTGGCTTAAACCTCTTGTGAAATTGCTACTTAAGAGAAATAAGCTAACAGTATTATCTCATGGCAGAGAAGAGACAGGTATTTCGTACGGCAAAGAAAAGGAGGATTCATTATTGAGGTGGTCCAGTTCCAAGGCTAGCGTTGCTTGTCCTAAGTGCTGCTCTAGATCTCGAATAAAAAACCTTTACTGACATCAGCTAAGAAAACTATGCTAGAATGCCATCTAATGCAGTCCTATTCACATTGTATCCACTGTAGCAGGAATACACTTTCTTCAGTTTCCTGTTTCCCTCAGATCAGCAGGAAAAATAGAATAGTCTGAAGTAGCCTATGGGAACTGACCATTGCTTTTCTGCTGACGTAAGCTAGCACCTGGGCTTGTGGAGTACAGAGCAGCTCTACCCTTCTAGTTTTGAAAGGGAGGAAGCTGAGCTGGGCATTCCCACACACCCTTTGTGTTTTCAGAGCTTAAGGGAACCGCCTCTTCTTTTCATAAGTGTGGTTTGAATGACCCCTGGTGGAAGCTTCAGACAACCAGGAATTTTAGGAGTTGGGTCCCAACATGAGGCTTCAGTTGGCCAACCTTAGGCACCCACATTTGAAAACTGTGGCTGCTAATGGAGATGGGTTTGTATTCAGGTGGAACTGGGCTGGATCTGTCAGCAACCTACATTCCTTATGTTGCATCCTGTCTACTTACATTCTTCATATCATAGTACCTGAGCCTAAGTGTCCTAAGATTCCTTCTCTCTGCTCTGTCTCTTTCCTCTTTCCTGCATATCCAGAGTGGAAAAGCTTTATTACAGTTGCTGTACTCTTATTTTTCCTCCTTAGTGAGGCAGCCCAGCCTAGCCTGTCTGTTGCATTGCTCTGTCTTTACAGTGCCCTCCTGTCTGCTCTCCACATGCTTTGTGAGTACCTCCATGCTGTCTTGGCACTGTTCAGTTATGGTAAATATCAGCTAAGGCAAGGGTCTGTGTCATATGTTTTTAATGTTAAGAGGATATTCCACCAGACTTCCCCAATGTGTATGCACATCCCCATCACCATTTTCTGAAGCGGGAACTGGATTTTAGTGCATACTTTTCAGATTTCCCCTGCTTGCTTGATGCACATTGATCTGCTTAAGGAGCTTTGGACACTCCAATACCTTACAATCTTGGCTACGCAAGACCCCTTTAGGTAATGGTGAAAAAACACCACAACCATCTATTGATAACCACCTATTTTTCTTGCCTTTTTTTTTTGGCAGGCTGATTTGAACACCAATATTGAAGATGAATCCAGATCTTTCTATGGCGTTTCCAGCCAATATGAGAGCCCAGAAAACATGGTCATTACCTGTTCCACCAAAGTCTGTTCCTTTGGAAAGCAGGTGGTGGAGAAAGTGGAGGTAGGGAGCAGACACCTGGGTGCAAGGTTCTCTCTGGCTGCTGTTCTGTCACTTCAAGTATTTGCATCCTGCATATATCTCAAGGCAAAATATATCCCATGCTTGTTGTCAGGAAGATGAATGCCATAGATTATTATTTCTGAGACATGCAGGTGTAACATTGCTCCAGCCTGCAACATGGCCTTGTCTCAGGACTTCATCGAAGGTCTGGTAGTGTTTGCTATTTTTTCCTTAAATCTCAGTTTCTGAAGACGTGAATATGTAAGACTCTCAGCTCTCGTGATTCTCTGGGTTTTTTGGGGGAGCAAAGAAAAGCTAGGAAACCTGGACCCTTGTTTTGTAGTCCACAAAGGTGAAAAAAATAGGCAACACCTCACTCTCATCAGTGTTTTTAAACGGATAATTTATAGACTATAGCCATTAATTAATAGACTGTAATAATTTACAGACTATAGTCTTATGATTTTGTGAGGCTTATCTTAGTGTTTGTACACTTCAGCTTGAGCAACAGTGGAGCTGCATAATTATGCATATATCTGGCACTGAAGGAATTCTTTCTGATGCCCCATTCAGCTGCTAAGAGAGCTGCTCTGACCTGCTTTTTGCCGCTCTCTTTCTCAAGGAGCCTTTAGATGCAGGAGGAGCAGCTGTGTGCAGAACACCAGGTGTTTCCGTGTCAGCAGTCAGTTCAAGCTACATCCTTCCCTAAGACCCGTCTCAAATCATATGATAGACATGCCTGAAGTCTGGTTATGTATTTGCATGATGGGATTGATAGGCCAAAGAAAGGTGTCATGGTGCACAGGAAAGGAGACCAAGCTCTTGGGGTGAAAGGAGGTAATGGGCATTTAAGGGTCTGCTGTGAAATGATAGAATCCAAGCTCAGCTTCTGTTCAAAGGAAGATGAAATACACAGGAGCTAAGATGTGAATGTGAACAAAAAAAATCCCTCTGTGTAACATTGGCCAGACCCTCACCTAAGGGGGAGCAGAGATGTTCTATGTTCTCTTTCACAGGTACCAGAAGGCTTTAGTCCTTTCCAGCTGTGAAGCATCCTGAGCATACGATTACCATCTTTACTAGGAGCTTCCTGGTTTTGCTAAAGCAGTAGTTTTTAACTTTTTCAGTTTACCCATGCCTAATATTTTTCCAGTAGAGATGCAGACTATAGTATAGCTGACAATTGGTCTGCTCCTCTTAGTTACCTTTCACAGCTCCTTGGCAGTTTGCTGCTTGTAAACTGGAACCCACTGTTCTAAAGAAAAAAGAAATCAATCCAAAGAAATTAGAGGGCTCAAGGAGACTGACCTTGGTGCGAAGTACTGTAGAGGAATGATTAATCAGCTCATTACTGTTAGTAAAATGACTCCAAAATGCCATTGTAATTTTTCTGAGTCTCTTTATGTGATTAATGCTACTAATGTGACATTAGCCCCATATGCCCCTTTTGTGTTTTACATTGCAGACAGAGTATGCACGCTATGAAAATGGACACTATTCCTATCGCATTCACCGTTCCCCTCTCTGCGAATACATGATAAACTTCATTCATAAACTCAAGCACCTTCCTGAGAAGTATATGATGAACAGTGTGCTGGAGAACTTTACTATCTTACAGGTGGGACTTTCAACTGTTTTCGTTGGAGCTTGGAAACATGTAAGCCCCATGCAGGAGTTCACTGTTGTGAGTCAAAGCAGATTTCCTTTTACAGCTCAGCATCTAATTGAACTTAGTATCTCTCACGCGTATTGCACCTCAAGATCATTTATGGAGCTCTAGAGATAGTAACTCATGCAGAGAAGCAGCAGAAGAATTTGAGAAACCTGAGTAAGAGAGAAAAAGAAAGATAAAGGGAGAACTCATGAGGCAGAGAGATAATGGAAGGAGAAAGATGCAAAAGTCAGTGAAGGAAATGCTCATTCCACTTTTGGACGAACGGTGAGGTCCTTTCTGTGCCCTGGCCCTTTTTGCAAGGTGAAAAAAAAAACAAGAGCACTGTCAAGTGGCTATATAATTTTGTCATGCGAAGAGTTCTTCACTGACCAGGTAGGGGAAAAAAAAAATAAATTGTTTCCTCAGGACCATTCTGAACCTGGAAAGAATATGGAGGCACATAAAGGAAGGGGCATGTTGGGGAAAGCTCTGTGGCACCTTCATGAACCACTGCAACCTCTAGGTAGGGCAGTACTATAAGGCTACAGCAACTAGATTTGCACTAGTGTCTGTGTTATACCAGGAGCCTTTCCAGGCTCGGATGCAGCCTAAATTTGGGAAGAGTGCAGAGACAGCTTAAAAGGTGGATTTTCCTAATGGACTGAGTTCTGTGCTCGCCTCTACAAGATGCGTCACAGATCTTCGCCCAGAGAACCTGAGGTTGGGTAAGTGGAAGAGATGCTAGAGGCTGTATGAAAGAATGGAAATCAAGTGGTCTTCATTCCATCCTCTGGAGATCTTGTGGGACTTCAGGCAACTCATTTCACTGCTCTGTGGCTCAGGTACCTCAGCTATAAAACAAGGTTAATAATGTCCTCACACTATTAACCTCACACAAGGTTAATAATATACCTCACGGGGCATTAGGAGGTTTTACTCTTTCATGTTTGTACTAAGATCTTCAGCATCTGGAAGAAAAGAGGAGTATAAATGCAAAGAGGTTTTTTTAGATGAGCAAAAGCATGAAGGGGGCAGGAACAGAAAGATGGAAGGCCTGTGCTGTAATCCATACTAAGGGACACTGTAACTGCTTTCTGCATGTTTCATTCCTCAGTCAGGCCAGTGCTTGCTATAAATTTTATAAATTTATAAACACTTTATAAAAGTTGTCATACAGTTATATTTCCTCTGGGGCTTTATGTTTTGAGTAAACTCATGTCCTATCCTTACCTCCTGCCACAGAGAGGCCTCTCACGTGGGTGCTGGCACAGCCTTTTATATATTGCCTTGCAGTCCTGCTCCCTGAGCAGCAGGCTGAGCATTTTCCACCCCACACTACCCACTGGGGAGCTGAAAAATGGTGATGCTTAAGGCAAGGCATGCTGCTAGTCCTCAGTCCCCACTACCAACTTCCGAGGCAAGCCTAATTATCTTTTTTCTAGACCCTTTCATGATACCCCTAATCCCACAAGCATGATTTATTTTGCTTTGCACATTGCTCTGGATCTAGCCCTCCAAGATTTCAGAGCCCATTTTTCAGAAGAGGCTCTGGTGCCTTACCACACCTGGATGTGTACAACTCACAAGAGCCTGCAGAAGAAAGGAGAAGGGTTAGTTCAGCTGCAAACCCAAACATGAAGTAAGACAAGAAAACAGAATAGACTAAAGTCAGGCTGCTAAAATTAATAAGCAAATTTGAAAAAAGCTATTTTCTTTCTGTTTTCACAAGAACGGTTGGGCTTTGGTACAGTTCAAGCCTCCAGCTGGTATGTTTTTCTTCTGCACTTGAGTTGGTGCTACTGCTGATAAAAATGTATCATCTCCTCCAGCAGGAGAGAACTGCTTGAAGCTTTAGCTATGGCACAAACTCAGACGACAAGAATGTGTAAAGTTGTGCAGTGACAGAGAGAGGGAAGCTGAGCTAGCAGCTCTGGGTGCAACATTTTGCTTGTCTCTGCCATGTAGTGTAGGTAGTGCATGCTTCTGAAACTGGGACAACACTGTTCCATCACCATGTTGCTGACACTGAGTCACATTGCAGAGAAGCTAAGGTTCCTGAGGGACCATAGAAAAAGAAACGGAAAAAAAGGAGCTTCTTGTAAGAATGTATGAGTGTAGCAGCCATCCTCCTGAGATCTACAGTGTATGGAATGGGAGGTGTAACAGAGTCAAACCTATAAGTCTCCTGTAAAATGAGTTATACTTTATAATCCTTATGGTCTGTGTCTACCACTGACAAGCAGGAGCAGGTGGAGGGAAAGAACTGTTCGTGGCTGTGATATATCAACACATACGTGAGCAGGAGTGGATGTGCCACAGGAGGTGGCCTTTCTATACCCAACAAACAGAGCAAAAAGAGATTTTCTGTGGAACACCTTCTCTCTGCTGAAACCTGCAACACCAGGGGGTGGGGAGTAGAAGACCTAGTGGACCTGCTTCCACTTATGTGGTCACTGCTTGGTCACAGCTTTCTTTTCTCCACAGCGGACTCTGCTCACCTCCCTGTCTCTTCACTGCATTGTAGTCCTGATGGTGTGAAAGTGCTTTGCTTGGGTGTGTGGGCACATAAACTGGGGGCTGGGGTGGCCGAGCTGTGTATCATTCCTGTGCTTCTCTGTTCTTTGCCTGTTACTGACTTTTTGCTCTATGTTAAATGTGTTGGAATATGTAAGCAGAGAAACAGCGGTTGCCATCTCAGCTTCTTCTCCTTTTCTGTCTAGGTTGTGACAAACAGGGACACACAGGAGACCTTGCTGTGCATAGCATATGTTTTTGAGGTGTCAACTAGTGACCACGGTGCCCAGCATCACATCTACCGGCTGGTGAAGGACTAGAGACTCTCTGCCCTGAGTCGTCCATGGGATGCATGTCTAAGAAAAAAGCCCGTGCTTGAACAACCCCTGCCCCCTCATACCAAACTGAAAAATAAACTGCAGATATTGTGTATTTTCAGAAAAGCACCTCTGAACTGTTTTGTGATTGACAGGGTCAAATAAATTTGTATCTTCAGGTTTCTGCAAATGGGGAAAAGACTTGGAGTCAAAGAAACAGGCAAATAACTGCTTAAGGGTTTCACCATAAACAGCATCCTCTGGAATGTATTTCCCACAGAGCACACACAGGGTTTGATCATACACATAAAAGGAGTGGTATGCACCTGAGCATACAGATAGGGCAATGGCAGCAGCTTCCACAAGTTTGACCACATATGAACAGGTTGAAAATGTTCATGCTACATCTGGTCTGAGTGTGTGCACTCATATACATTCATTTGTAGGTCAACACATGCACAGACATGCTTACCATACATTTATATAGATGTCAGTTAGACAAGTGTGGGCACATGCATGTGTATAGAGATTGCATATATAACCTACGTATCTGCCTGTCCAGCTGTCCACCTTAGCAGTCACAGGCTCCTTCAACCTTCCTCCTGTTAGAGGCTGGATACTGTTTCCCTCTCTTCTGTGCATGATAGTGAGAGAGCAACCTTTCTTTTGCCTTTCAAATGAAGTTATGCTTAGAAAATTGGGTATGTTAAATCATGTGGTCTTGCCCAGCAGATTTCCTCCATGTATCAGGTCTGCTGACTTGACTGACTAAAGTAATTCTTGCTGCTTTTGCTTCTGTTCTCCCTGCGCAGTTAGCACTGCTCAGGGAGCTAGAGTCTGCTCTTTTCTTGTGCCCCAGCAAAATAATTGTTTACCGAGACCAAATTGTTCCACCTGTTAGTTGCAGACAGTGAGGCGCACATGTATTGCAAACAATGCCATTTGGCCAGCAAATCGCAGGAAAAGGATGAGAGAGAACAGTGAAAAGAGGTTAGCTTTCCATGTTTCCAAGGCAATCAAACACAGTCTCTCTGCTTTACTTGTAAACTGAGGTGGTTTACTCAAGAGTCACCAAGAGGCAATAATCTTAGTCTCCACAATGCTGCTGATCGGGGGGAAGATCCAGCCATTCATGTTACTCTGAGGGAAGAGGTCGGTTGCATGGTGCTCTCTGGCAGCCACTGAACAGGCAATTTATTGGGTGGCCAGGCACAGTCCTGTGGCACAGGTTTGGATATATGGTGTTACATCTCCTCTTTCCACAATGCATCACATCACCTTAGGAAATGCCTCTCACACTTATTTCAGACGTTTCCATCCTTGCATTTTTGGCACAGAGAAAAGTACTCATGGGTACCTGAAGAATCTGAGATACCATAGAAATCAAGGGTTTGTCTGAATGCCAGAAGGTAAGGACTTCAGCCACACACAGATGAAATCTGACTTCTTTCAAGAACTCATGAGCTTGTTGGTACTCACTTCTACAGCTGTCAGTCTGCTGGTTAAAGGGCTCTGTGGATTCCATGAAGATACTGTACAACTCTTCCCACAGCACATGTAGAGGCAGACTTACTTGTGTATCTCCTCCAGCTTCCTAACCATCTTCCTGTCCTTTAAGATATTTCATTTCTGTATTTGAAGTTGTAAGTTTTACTTATTTACAAGGTACTCCAAGAGTCTTCTCAGAGATTGACGATTTTGTTTCCTGCACATTTAAATCTCAACTCCCTTCAAAGTTTAAATCTTCCACTCCTAGAGAATGTTATTCCCATGTTTTATGGACTCAGATTAATCCTTTGAATACTTGAAGGTCTAAGACTCGACTGGGCTTTTTCACAAGTATTGTTGAATATTCCCCATCCTCTCACTGAAATTCATGAAAAATGCTCAGCCAGCCACCTTCCAATGTACCATCAGCATCACTTCTACTTGGTATATTAGATTGGGTGGGGGTGGGGAGGGAGGGAGGGAGGGAGGAAAGGAAGGAAGATTCCCTTACTGGAACACATTCTTTTTAAAACATAATCTGGTAGTGTACTCAGTTACCTCCTCCAAACTCTTCATTATGCTCAGAGAAAGCACTGGCATCTTTCACATCAACTCTCAGCTCTTTCACTTCCCAGGGGTTCTCGGGCTCCTCAGTTTTTCCCCGCAAGATGCTTTGGGCAATCTGCTGCTTTAGATGCTTGTTTCAACAATCTAATTTTTCACTAGCTCTTCTTGATTGTTTTCACGAGCTTCCTTGTGTGTTTCACTAGCTGTGCTTTCTCTTACCCAGCTTTAAACAAGTTCTGGTAAACACTGAACTTCTAGCTAGATAATGGTAGCTTCAGCCACTCCATGCAGTACTTCCAAGGAGGAATCTGCTGATGCCTTGGAATCATCATGGTTTTATTTTGAAGCTGGTATTGAGAGCAGTTGTTCTTTGCTAGCTCCTAAGTGTAGAGAAACATGCAGTGTTTTCCTCAATGACTTAAATCTTCAGTATTCCTCTGCCTTGTTGCTGGCTAATAGTACGGAGTTTCTGTCTCTGAACTGTTTTCCAAAGCCTGTGTAAAACTTACACAAGCCTACAATGCTGCCTCTAGGTTTGTAATACTTAGTTTATGACCTTAGGATTCAATACAATCTTTTCTGACTCTGTGTTGCAGCTGGGGGAATTGATTCCTCACAAGGAATATTCAAGAAACGGTAAAGAATGAACTATTAAAATTTAACTTATAAAAGAAGTGAGTTAGACAAGTTTATTATGGTCAAGTAACATTTTGATATGGGACCCCCTAAAAATTTTTATCTGAAGCATGAGTTCACATTGGTGTGGCTGTCAGCAGTTAGATGAAAAGCAAATGATTAAAAAGACCTTTAACAAAGATGATGGATGACTGTGTTAACTGAGGGGAAGGTGTGTACTGAAAAAGATTAGTATACAGCCATTCTCTTTTAACATCATCAGTGGTCTGGAGGAGGAAGAAAGCAGCAGGGTAAATTAATCTGCAGATAGCACTAAAGGAGATTTTTGCAAACTGAGTATGTATAGACAATTTGAGCAACCTGAACACCATTGAAACACTAGGTTTGAACTGGGAGAATAAATATTAAGAACGATTTGCAACATAATTTAATATGTCCTTAAAAGAACAAGAGAAAGATGGCAAATTAAACGTAAATTATCAGAAAGATAATCAGTGCCAGAGAGGTACATAGTCAGAACATGACCCAACATTGGACAGCATGTTGGAACTAATTGTCGAAGGACAGATGCACAAATACAAAACTTCAGTGACAGAGATGAACATGAGACTCAGATTAAAGTCTCACGGTGCTACCCACTCAGTGAAATAGAGACATACACTGGAGGATGAAGATTTCACTGTCAGTGGAAGAGGTGATGCCAGGCCCTACAAAAGGTGTTTTATTTGGCCTAGCATGTGAGGAATCCTGAGGATTTCCATTTCAACAGAGATTTCAAACAGAAGACCAGAATATAGGCTATTTGCAAAGCCCTACTGAATGTACTTCGTATACAGGTACAATTTTACAATAGACCAGAACAGAATATAATAGTTCCAGTTGGAAGGGACCTACAATGATCATCTAGTCCAACTGCCTGACCACTTCAGGGCTCACCAAAAGTTAAAGTATATTATTAAGGGCATTGTCCATTGCCTCTTAAACACTGGCAGGCATGGGGCATCGACCACCTCTCTAGGAAGCCTGTACGAGTGTCTGACCACCCTCTCAGTAAAGAAATGCTTCCTAATGTCAAGTCTGAACCTCCCCTGACACAGCTTTGAACCATTCCCACGCATCCTGGCACTGGATCCCAGGGAGAAGAGATCAGCACCTCCCTCTCCCCTTCCCCTCCTCAGGAAGATGTAGAGAGCAGTGAGGTCGCCCCTCAGCTTCCTTCTCTCCAAACTAGACAAACCCAGAGTCCTTAGCCACTCCTCACAGGACATGCCTTCCAGCCCTTCCACCAGCTTTGCTGCCCTCCTCTGGACACATTCAAGGACCTTCACATCCTTCTTAAACTGTGGGGCCCAGAACTGCACACAGTACTCAAGGTGAGGCCGCACCAATGCTGAATACAGAGGGACACTCACCTCTTTTGACCGGCTGGTTACGCTGTGTTTGATGCACCCCAGGATGCGGTTTGCCCTCTTGGCTGCCAGGGCACACTGCTGACTCGTATTGAGCCTGCTGTCGACCAGCACCCCCAGGTCCCTTTCTGTGGGGCTGCTCTCCAGCCACTCCTCTCCCAATCTATACTTGTGCCTGGCGTTACTCTGTCCTAGGTGCAGAATCTGGCATTTGTTCTTGTTAAATTTCATGCCATGGATGCTTGCCCAATGCTCCAATCTATCCAGATCCCTCTGCAAGGCCTCTTGTCCCTCCAGAGAGTCAACGGCACCTCCCAGGTTGGTATACTCAGTGAACTTGCTAATGGTGCATTCAACTCCTGCATCTAGATCATTGATAAATATATTGAACAGAACTGGCCCTAGAATTGAGCCCTGAGGGACACGGCTGGTGACTGGTCACCAGCCAGGTGTAGCCCCATTCACTACAACCCTTTGAGCCCTGCCCTTCAGCCAGTTCTTCACCCAGCGCACCCTGAACTTGCTCATCTCACAGCTGGACCGCTTGTCCAGAAGGATGCTGTGAGGGACAGTATCAAAAGCCTTACTAAAATACAGAAAAACTACATCCACCACCTTCCCTTCACCCACTAGGTGGGTGACTTTATCATAGAAGGACATCAAATTAGTTAGACAGGACTTTCCCTTTGTGAATCCACGCTGACTGTGCCTGATGATTGCATTGTTCTTTAAATGCCTTTCAATAGCACCCAGTCTGATCTTCTCCATAATTTTTCCAGGTTCTGAGGTTAGACTAACAGGTCTGTAGTTTCCTGGGTCTTCCCTTACGCCCTTCTTGTAGATTGGAATAATGTTGGCTAGCTTTCAGTCAGTAGGGACCTCCAATTGTTGTGCTCAGGTAAGCACAAGCTGCACCAGGACTAGCCTTACAACACATAGCCCTGCACCGCTGGAGTTCCAGTGGGCCTGGACAATCAATTTGATGTGGAAGGGGGACTAATTGACATATTTCCTCATTAAGCTATT